GGGGGGGGAGTCTGGGGCGATCTGACCCTATCCGATCGGGAGTTGTGCAAACAGTGCGAGCAGGCGACCCGACCGTTCGTGTCGGTGCTGTTGGGGGGTCGCTGTTCTGTTAGCCAGACCCGCGGCTCCTCTCTCCTCCGCAGCGTCATCCCGGCCAGCACGCCGAGGAGCGAGGAGAGGGTGCCCCCCGGTCTTTGTCCTCCTCTGCACACCCCCTTCCTATGCCTTTGTCCAATCCCCGATCCCCATTGCCCCACATTTCGTTTACGTGAAATGTGAGCCGCAGCCACACTACCCGCAACATACACAGACATTCCCTCCCTCCCTCCTCCCCTGCCCTCCCCCCCTCTCTCTCTCTCCCCCCCACACACACGTATGTTTTTTTAACGCGACTCGCTGCGCGGGATAATAATATTTCGTCGGTACAGGTGCGCGCGGGTCGGGCCGGGGGTGTACGTAGTTAGCCCTTACGAGCTGCCCGGACGTGTCGGGCGCGGGGGCCGCTGCCGCCGCTGCTGTTTTGTAGGGGGATAAAGCGGGATAAAGCTAAATATCCGATAATACAGGCGCCGACTAAAGTGGAGGGGGTGGAGGGGGCATAACCTGGGCATGCATCCTCTCCGCTGAGGCCACGTCCCGTATTCCCCCCCCCCCCCCTCTCCTCTCCCGGGACCGGTGCGGCCTCTCACTCGGCCAGCGCGCTGCCACTGGCGCAGTCGTGTTTAAACAAATTAGCAGAGGGAAAGGGAAAACAGAGTGGAGGATGGTCAAAACTGATTAGCATCCGGGGAGCGGGGTGGAGGGTGGAGGAGAGGCGGGGAGGAGAGCCTCTCGCAGGCCACTCGACCCGGCGGCGCCCCCCCGGTCATGTGTGGGCCGACAATAATCATCATCGTCGGCACTACAGAAGTGTTTGTATTAAAACGGCCCTCAGGAAAAGTAGTCTTCGTGGGGGACACAAAGAAGCCCTCCCCTCGAGATGGACAGACTGACTAATTTTTCTGATTGTCCAAAAGCAAGTGCGTCCCTTTTCAGGGACCGCGATCACCGGGCGACAGGCAGGCGCGACGGTGGTGGGCCGGATTGCTAACATTGGTACTTCCATCCGCCATCATCGCGCCTCTATCGCCCGTTCCGCGCGAATATTCAAATTATGGCCCTCCCCTAAAGCTCTCGCTTTCTCGCTATAACAGCCTGCGTGATTTCGGGTAGGCCACCCCGCAGTTCAGCCATGCACAGCACGCAAGATGTTGCCCACCCATCAGGCGCTACGGGAGCTAGCAAATGCTCTGAACTCAGCGGGTTCGTCACGGCGAACGGCGGACGTACTTCCTGGGGATATGATCTCTCAGCCGTAAATAGACACAGGAT